TTTTTTTTTTTTTTTTCTTTGTATTTTAAGAGACAATCTAAGTGTTATGAATATTTTATAATCAATTAAATTGTTTCTCACAGATACTCATCACTTTTGACGACAAATAAAATAAACTTGAGCTCTATTCCCCACCATTTCTTACTCAATCTCATCATTTGTTATTATTTCTCACCAAATCACCCAATCCAATCAGAGTGTTAGGTTTCGAATCTGGGTTCGGAAGGCAATATCAATGATTTGGGTTTCGGATATGATTTCAAATCTGGGTTTGCTATGATCACAAACCTGATGATGAAGATGAAGATAAAGAACTCGACAATCTTGTGCATTTCTGGGAAATTTTGCAATGCCAATTTTTTCTGGGTTGTGATCACAATCCCAATTGTCTGGGTTCATTATGATCACAATCCTGATTTGATAAATTTTTATTTTTCTGTAAATTTTTTTTGTTCGCATTGGTTGTAGAAATTTTGAGTTTTCAGATTGTCGATAAAATTTCTGTTTGTTGCTTGAAATTCTGTGACACAGAAATCAGTTTGTTTTGATAATGCCAACTTGGCACAACAAATGGCATTGTCAAAATTAGGCAAGAGTTTTGGCAGAGCCCATTGGAGTGTTGTTTTTGGGAACTCTTGTCAAATTTTGGCATTGGCAATACATAGCAGACCATTGGGATGCTCTTATGTGTTGGTTGGCAAAGGAAAATTGGCAGGCCAGTAGTAAACAAAGGAACAAGTTGGTTATGCTGTCAAGAAGTACTACCTTTTTTTAAGGAGACATTCACTTCTTTGACATTGTAAAAACAGAACACTCTGTGCTATGATTCAAGGCAATAGAGCAAGCAATATTGCCAAAAATAAAAACAGAAATAACAACTCTGTTCTACTGTGGCTTTGGAGCTTAAACAGGGCAAATTGAGGGTGATCCTCCCATCTCCTCTCCAATGCAGAGCAAGCCAAGCCAACTCCATGAAAGCAAGGCCATGCCAGCCAATTTTGAGGGTGACATAGCGGTAGATCTCATAGGCATAATCCTCAACAGCTGTAACTCTGATTTTTATTAATGATGTGTTTGGTTAGGGGGTTTGGAAAGTGATTTAATAAAAAGGGAAAAAGTATGTGAAATTAGGTGAAATGTAAGTATATTTTATTCACATTTCACCTAACTCTTTCATTTCTCTTACCAAATCTCTTCTCAAATCTCCCAATCAAATACAGCGTAAAGGATCTCCATAATTATGTATCTCAAATTATGATCTCCAAGTATTCCATTTATCATAGTTATAATTCAGTGCATTTATTATTATTATTTTTTTTGAACAGAGTGCATAAGTTCAATCATACTTTAAAATAATCATAATGAAGTGGAACCAACAAACCCAATCCACAAACGCAAACCACAGATTGAAGGGGGGAAAAAATGCTTATGAGCTAAGCCCATCAAGTGGAGACACTGTGGAGCACCACAGTCTCAATAGTGACTCCAGGCCCAAAGCCAAAAAGCACGCCCAATCAAGCCCATCACCAGTGGTCTTGAGCCCATTATCAACTGACTTCTTCCTCATCTTATCCAGTACCGCTTGTTAAATTACCATCCTCTCTTAGGACATGCCTACTGGCCCATAACTTCTCGGGCTTAAGGTTCAACTTTAATTCCATCTGGTCCAAAATAGCAGGCCCACCAGGATGTACAATCCGAAAAATAGAGTTCCAATCAGAGATGGCCATGTGCTGAAATGCCTCCACCAAGATCTTCTCTATGTTCATGGAGACAAGCCCAGGGACACACTTGCTCAAATGGAATGTAAGGCCATTTCACGAAGTTGTAATGTGATGGCACTTTCACTATCAAGGAGAGTGGTTTGGGCCACTGAGACGATCTCAAACGAAGGCTTCTCAACCCTGAGCACTAGGTCCAACCCAACTATAATTGCAGTTGCACCATCACCAAACAAGGCCTGGGCCAAAAGTCCACTGTGATCGGTGTCACTAGGCCCATGAAATGCCATCGCTGTGATCTCAGAACAGACGATTAAGACTCGAGTACCTTTGTTGTTCTCAGCTAGGTCTTTGGCTAGGCAAAGAACCGTGCCACCGACAAAGCAACCTTATTGGTACATCATAAAACGATTGATGAATGAATGCAGACCAAGGAGGTTGGTGAGGCAGAAGTCGGCACTGGACATGTCAACACCACTAGTGGTGCAAAAGACCAAGTGAGTGATTTTGGATTTTGATAGGCCCCATTCTTTGATTGCATGAATAGCAGCCTCTTTTCCTAGTTTTGGTACTTCAACAATAAGCATGTCTTGTCTAGCATCCAATGAAGGTTCATTGTATGTGGACGTGTTAGGATTTTCTATCAAAATTTCCTCAGTCAAGTACAAATAACGGTTCTTAATCATAGGTTTTTTTTTTGAACGATTCTTAATCATAGTTTTGTCACCTGCATTACACAACAAAAAGAAGATTGGAAACTTTACAAAGCAAGCCATAGGTTCAAATGTTGGGTGGTGATTTTGTACTTGTAGTCTTCTTCTTCTTTTTTTTTTTTTTTTTTTTTTTTTTTCCCTCTCCCCCTTCTTTTGGAATTCTAGTATCATTTTTATTATTTAACTCATTAAAAAAAAAAAAAAACACAAAGAAATACAAAGTTGGACATATTTATGTCCCAATTTTAGAAGAATTTATTCACTAATAATATAAAACCATAGAAATGAAATACATAATGTTATACAGATGTTTCACAAAAGATGACTCTTACAAATCTACATGATTGTGAAATGTGTTCAAATAAAATTATTTTGTTCATTCTTTTCCTTTCTTTGGTCATGTGTGGATGCTTTTGTTGGGTATTTTGTCCAATTTTGTGGGGATGCTTGTACGAGCACGAAATAATATTCTCGTATAATCCTGTTGATTAAGTTTGCACTCCTCCAAACGTCGTCACTTTATTACCTGAAAACACAAATGTGAGTTAGCCGGCGGGGGTGTGCCGGAAACCTCTGCGATGCCTAAGTCAGCAAAGTAGATAAGAGACACATGAGCTCTGTGTATTAGAGAGTAAAGATTTGTGTTACCTGTACATAGATCCTGTCATGAGCTTTTATAGATTCCACCTAGCAGAGTCCTTCTAGGAATCACACTTTCAAGGATAATATCTATCCTGAAAATACTCTACTCACTGCCAACCAAGTGAGATGATTGCAACACTTTTACTTAGGCTGGTAGCATGGTCAACCGAACTCAAAGCAGCCCTGCTCTGAGTATTGGACAACAAAAATTACGTTCCACGAAGCTAGACCAAGTTCGGTCCTCTGCCTCGGTCATACCCCGGTCCTTCCTAAACCACATATAATCAACATGGTCCAAGTTTTGGCCAAATATTTGCCCGGCCTAAGACCGAGCTACTTTATTTCTTGCCTCGGCCCACAACGCGGCCCAATGACCAAGAGACTGTACCTTGCTCAGTCCATTCTAACAGATGGACTTTAGCTCGACCTAATTTATACATAAATTGCCCTCTCTATTGCCCCTTAATTCTATCTGCGAAGCATGATTGAGATTATTATCCTCAAGCCGCGCTAAAATATTCAAACCAACCGAACTAAAATAATCAACCCAACCGAGCTAAAGCATCCCAACTGAGCTAAAATATTCAACCCCACCGAGCTAAAAGCGCATCCGTCTGTAGGTAGCCCGGTCTTCAAGAACTGTGCCGGTCGTATAGCCGGTCGTTCCATGTAACTGACATCGTGTCCTTACTGGGACACGTGGCATGCGCCTATTGCCCCTCCGTACTGCGATAGCCGTCTCACACTTATCAAAAAATTTGAGAAGGCTGCTGTTTTGCCTTCATTTATAAACGTAGCCCCTTTATTTCAAATAGTCACCATTTACTGTTCATCTTCAAGCTCAAAAAACCCTTTCGACCAATACTCTAATCCTGCATTTTTGAGTTCTTCAAGCCTTGGTATCATCGTCGTCATCAAATCGAGCCCCAAGCACTGTTGCTGGAAGTCCTTTCACTTATCAGCGTCACTTTCTCCACTCAAAAACTGATAAGTCTCCTGCTCTTCTATGCACTCTATATGACTCTCCATGTTCTTGGACTGTAAACCATTAATGATACTGCAATAGTATTTGTAACACTTGTATTTGTTACGTATAAAAACGAACTTAGAACTGCATTTAGCTCCCACAAGCTTCACACCTTGGGGAAAACTGCACCCTACTTTGAACTGAAATCCAACAAGAATTTTGGTTTTGATCCAAAATCGTCCTAAAACAGAGCTACAAACTTGTTTGTGCTCATTTAGATGTGTTTCACCGAACTAGGAAAACATCATCTAAACATGATCGTGCTAAAATTTCACCATAACCTGCCTCACTTCTTAGCTGAGCAAACTAATTTACAACAATGCCTTAACCCGGTCACTAGTTGGCCATAACACATTCTATGTTCTTTCACTGTGCAGACTTTGACTAGGTTTTATCCATGCACACCATTCACCATAACGCCGGGCTAAGGAGCTGAGCAGATTTTTATAAACAACCTAAGGACACACCTATGGGCAAATACCGGTTTCTTGTGAGTTCGCCCGATGCCGTAGTCGAGTTCTGAAGGGAATACAACATCCCTAACGACGTACAATTCAAGCTAGCCAAACTGGACACCATGTCCTGGGGCAAACCAGGCTTCGTCCTTTTTACCCTTATATCCATTGTAGAGGTCGGGCTTCGATTCCCTGTCTAGCCCCTCATCTGTGAGTTTCTTAAGCAAACCAGATTATGTCCCACCCAATTATCCACAAACACATACAAAATAATAAATGGAATCGCCGAGCTAAACTGCCGTCTCGGTCTTAACCTTGGATTGGCCGAGCTATTTCATCAATACTTGCTTGGCCAAAATGACGATAGTTGGGTCCATTACCTACGCATCAGCAGGTTCATTACCTATGCATCAAAAAGGGTTGAGAGAAAATCGTTAAGCGCATGCTAGACAAGGATCTAAACGACGACGATTTTCTCTGGGTCTCTGGTAATTTTGAGGATTATGAGGCCCAAATACCGGGCTACAACATCAACTGGAATAAAGGAAGCCCTGGTGAGCATAGTTTGGTTGTTTTAAAAATTTATACCGTTCCGCAGTCGTGCTAATACTTGGGTTCTTTTTTGCAAACTTAAACCGGTTGAAAACAGACTATGCCTACACTAACCAAGCTGCACTACGAGCTGCCTTACAGTATCACCACCATGATTGGACTGAGCTTTTAGGAGTAGTATTGATGTATCGCTACAGTGGCAAGAGAAAAAAGTAGAGTCACAGTGTAGACACCCCATTTTTGACCGCCCTTAAGACCTGGGCGCCACTGATTAATCACTCGATGATGAAAGTTATGCTGTGCAAATGTTCGATTTTTTCAACAAGAAGAGCTTTTAAATCCTAACCTTACACCCCATTTTGGACCAAAACTATTTTATACCTTAAAACCCTCTCTTTTAAAATATTTTTTCAAATGTTTCTATGATGTTCCAACGCTCGCATTTCATTTAAAAGTTGCACTTTTCGGTAAACTGAGCAAGGACAAAGTAGAAATGAATGGAAGAGAGGTGAAATCTTTGAAATTTTTTTAAACCTCTTATTTATAGGTTGGGAGTTGAAGAAAAGTGGAGGAGAGGGAAGAAAACTAGTTGGGGAGAAGTTGGGCTTGAAACCATTAAGAGATAACTAAGCAGCCTTCACTAAATCAGACCTATCTCTTTGAACACTTAGAATTTGGTGATGAGCCCACCATTGGAAAGTGGACTTCCGGGACTTCATTTTAGACACAAGAATCTCCTAAACCGGAGTCCGAATGAGGGAGATATGACTGTTTGAAGTTAGGCATCAATCCGATTAGGAAAAAACTGAGCAACCTTTAATAAAATAGGAATATCTTTTTGCACACTTAGAATTTAGATGTGAGGCTGCCACCATTGAAAATTAGACTTCCGGGGGTTCAATTTAGACTCAAGAATGACCTAAAACCGTGTCCGGATGAATGAGATATGCCCATTTGAAGTCGGGCTTGGAAGAAGATTTTTGGTGACACCATTGGTGGCCGACAATTCACACTTCTGGCCAGCTGGCCATTAGTGTAAAACCCAGATATTTTTGCCAGTTGTTTCCTCAAAGCTCTAGCTGTCCATTTTTTGTTATTTTCGACCTACGGCTCATGTTTTCTATATATAAATGACCTCCCTTTCTTATTTTAAGGTTAGAAACATTTAGGAGTGAGGAAATAATTTTGGAAAATTCCTCTCTCTATAATTCTCTCTTTCTCTTGCAACTTGCATATCTTTTGCCCAAACACTCTAAACCAAACTTAGAGAGCTTCTTGCTGGGGTTATTTGAGCTTGAATTTGAGCTTTTAAAGTACTTAAGAGTGTGAAATTAGTGGTTTATAACTTAAGGGTTCATTCATCTTCAAGAGGTATACATTTTCTTGCATTTGTACCATCTTTATACCACTTGTTTTTTCATATTTTCTACTGTGTTTTGGACTGTTTAAAACATGTATTTTTGAACTGAAACTTGTGGTTTAAGGCCATTAAAGGTAGAGGGTTGATAGCCCTTCTTTACACCTTACTTCTAAGGCCTTTGTCCTTGTGTTTCCCACTTTGTTGTCAACTCTTTTTGAGCTTTTTAACACTGTTTTTCAGAGTTATTTCAGTCGCTAAAATCATGTTTTGAAGTCCAAATTTGGAGGGGTTAGCCTCCTCTCCTTGTGACTTACTTATTAGCCTAGCTTGTGCTATATTTTAGCATATTAATCTAGCTTTTTTTAGCTTAATTCTAGCATGTTTTAGGGCTGTTTTAAAACTATTTTAGCACTGTTTTTGGTTGATAGTTGCATTTGAGCTTTTTTTTGCATGCTTGTAGTGTAATTGTCCTCATAAATTTGGTGTTCTAGGCCTTGGACACCATTTTATTTGAGTTGATTACATTTATTTTTGGCTTTCCATACTTGTGTTCACTTTTAATCACCTCTGCAACCTCCCTCCCTCCTTTCTTGGCTTTTGTTTTTCTTTGAAAGTGGTTCAAACAACTTGTTTGTTTAAAGCATGAGATTGAGATGTCATGCTTAATGGTTTAATCCCTTTGGGGGTTCATTACAAATGGTATGATGTCTCTTTCATGCCTAAAACAACACTTGGTTTGAGCCCTCTTTCCATTAGAGGACTTAAATTCACCATTGGACTCAATGAATTAAAGAATGGATGGTAATCTAAAATGGAGTAATTAAAATGGGACTAAAATGGTGCAAGATAATAAAAAGTGCTGTGTTCAATCGAATGTTAATTGAACACATGGAAGCTTGAGGCATTTCATACTCATTAGTGATGAAATGGTTCAAGTATCCAAGGTCACCACTTCCCTTGATCAATTCATGAAAGGGATGAGGTTAGAGTCTTATTTTATTATATTTATTGAAATTGCACACTTTGGTTCATGAGCCATCATGCAATGAAATTGCTTGAGTTGATGGTTTGTGGACCAAGTTTTGTCTCTCCCTTGATTTTTTTATGATAATGAGGAGTGAGTTGTGCAAACAACCCTTGAGAATACCCTATCCATGCTCTGTTTGTTCTCTGTTGTAGCAAGATGAACTGGGCAACAGTGGCCGGCTGGCCACTGATGCAAAATTTAATAGTGTATTTTTTAAGCAGAGCCGGGCCATTCTGGAGGTGGACAAAAGTGTAAGTGTTCTACTATGCAACAGAGGCCTTTTGAAAGCAAAACAGTGGCTTTTTGGGTAGAAATCGAGCACGTGCATGAGCATTCCTCGCATATCGAGCCTATTTAGTTTAAATATTTAACTTAGATATTTGTTGTAATTAATTAGTTGTAGCTAGTTAATTTTTGTAAGGTATTGTAATTAATTAGTTAGTTAACTACTTATTCGATTTCGTTTTGTAAATTATTTTAATTAGCTAGAATCGTTAATTACTTCGTTTTGTAATAATTAGTTTAGCTTAGCTTAGTTTAATTAGTTAGCTAGTTAGTTAGTTTATTCATTCAGACTCTCCTTTGTGAGAGTGCAATGTTGTAATAATGGGGGTGTTTGGGAAGAGGTGGTTTAGGCTAATATAGCCTCTAAAATAAAAATAGCCTAAAAGCCTCCAAATTAAAAGGTTTTTTTTAAAAAAAAAAGAAAAGAAAAGAAAAATTAGGCCGGCAGTGGCTGTTACTGTGACAGTGGTAGGCTGTCACAGTGACAGGTAGTAGAATTACAATTTTGCCCCTATTAATTTACTTTGAAAAATGTGAGAATAGGGATAAAATTGTCATTTTAATTGCAAACATCATTTTAACACATTTTTCAATACACCAATTCAAATAAAAATCTATCCCATCTTCCCAAATACAAAAACTAAAATAGCCTACTAAAATAGTCAAAAAGCCAAAAAGCCTCTAAAATAGCCACTTCCCAAACGAGGCCAATGTATATGTCTTCCAACCCTATGTCTTTCTCCCTTTTATTTATTAGCTTACGATGGTTAGTTTAGGGATATCATGTTTCGTTTAGCATACTCCATGTTTGCATTCACTTGTATTGCATGCACCAGGGCTCGGTTCATCATTCTAATTACATTGTTAGTTTAAATACTTTTTTGAATACGTGCTTAGACCGCATGCTATCAAATTGATTCATATGCTATACTAGTAGCCGAGCTTAGTAATTGCATATCGCATGTGTTGTATTCGTCATATCGCATATTTAGGAATCATGCATTTTTCTAACTCGTTTTGTCACGACCCGAACCCGCCCCCATGGGTTAAGGACATAACTGGCCAGTAATCAAGGGATTACCTACGGCCTCAAACCAAACAAGACATATCTCATCAGAGTAAATGGGTCAAACAGAAGCAAATTTAAAACTTTTGTCCAATGAGCTATGCTTACATGGCATATCAAAACATTTCACATGTACTTAATAATAACTCACACCACATATCAGTAGTCAACATCTTGTATACCCAGGATCATTCAAACACATAGTCAGCTAAACCAAAAGCTCACACACATACACGGTCTATCACGACCAATAGAAGTAGAAAAAGAAATACAAAAGATCATAAACAAAGCCTCTTGCGTGACACACCTGGGCTGACTTCAGAAAACTCGGGTTCCTTTCTTAAATTCTACTAAGGCTGGGGTTAAATGTCCCTTTGCTCACCCACATACATATAAATGAGAGTGAGCTAATGCCCAGTGAATAATATCAAAATAAAGAGGTTAATGAATGAGATTCGTTCATAAATGAATCATACTTATAATGTACATCTTTGAACCACTATGCTCATTCACACAAGATTTACAAATCTCAACAAAGAAAAACGACCTTAGGTCCAACACATCATGTCCATATACAAAATGACCTCAGGTCCAATTCTTATATAACAATACGACCTCGGGTCCATCTATACGAAATGACCTTTGATCCAACCAACTCTCCATTCAAAACGACCTTTGGTCCAATTCGAACACCTCAAACGGCCTCGGGCCCAATTCAAACATATCAGGCGTATCAAACAGCCTCGGGCCCATTCTCTTTATATTCATATCCATGCGTATTTCACATTCATGATCATGATCTCTTTCATTCAAACGGCCTTTGGCCCATCACAGTATTTCAACATATCAAATGACATATTCAAACGGCCTTTGGCCCATCTTTGCATTTATGTCTAACGGCCTTTGGCCTAATCATTCATGTCCGACAGCCTTTGGCCCAATCATTCATATCCAACGGCCTTAGGCCCAATTTAGTTATATCAAACATATCAACGGCAAACGGCCTTAGGCCTAATTCAGATATACCAAACGTATCAAACGACCTTATACAAAATTAGGCATATAGAATACTCATTCATATTTCAAATCAACAAATCCATGAAGCTTATATAAAAGTAGCATTCAGAAAGTAACATACTTGAAAATATCTTTACTAAGATATTACTCACAGTGTTCTGCTGGTGGATTGCCCTCGAGCTTGACCCTACACATTACATAACACATATGGGTCACAAACGATTCAATCCATTCTTAATTCATACATTCCTCTTAGGCTCATTTCTTATCATTTTAACTCATTCACAATGCTCAATGCATGCCTAAGAGTGCTTAGAAGCGAAAGAGAACAGAAAATGAAACACAGAACACCTTTACAAATTTTCTGAAACAGGGGTCCTCGTTTGAGTGTGGGTTCCGCCGCTCGAGCGGACCCTGATGGTCTGCAAAAATACTGGTTACCTCATTTCTACGTTCGAGCGTGAATTCGAACGCTCGAGTTGAATTCGGACGCTCGAGTTAAATGTCACACTCCATGGTTCCCCGCTCGAGTGTGAATATCCCCGCTCGAGCGGACACCAAAGTTTGCAAAAGTTCTGGGAGCTCACATTTCACGCTCGAGCGGCGATTCCCCCGCTCGAGTGGACTTCATGAATTCTGGGTTTTCCAAAACTGTTCTTGAAGCTTAAACTTGACCTTCAAAGGTCCAAAACTCATTTTGGTTCAAAACATGCCAATACATTATACCACATGAGAATATAAGTGTATAGGACCGAATTGTTCAAAATCACAATCTAATTCTCAAATAAATCCTCATTTCTTTTGTATGATCAAACCCATGCATTCAAACTTCATCCAAAATTCATATCTCTACCAATTCAACATGCATGTTAGTCTTTGACCCCAATTCCATTTCAAATAGCACCAATGATGCTCACAACCATGAAAATTTATTATAATATTAGAGATTTGAGAGTCCGTTCTGTCAGTATAAGTAGATGAGTGCAGACTTCCTTAATTGTATTTAGATATCTGATACCCTAATTGAAGATTTGAGGAAGTAAGGAGTGGTATGAAGCATTAGATCAACATTTTAATTGGCTGCTTCAATATAAGATCAGCCCATATTTTTGCAGATGGGGTGACAGCATGCGTGTTCAGTAATTAGATCAACGACCTTAACCGATCATTCACCAAAAAGAACAAAAAGGAAAGGAGACTAATATCTTGAAAATTGAATCCCCCTTCCCCTCACCCACCCACCCAACAAAAGAAATAGTAATCAGGACGAGTTTTCAGTCATTAGATTACAACGAGAAAGAAATAGTAATGCATAAAATTCTTTTCAAGTGTTAACATCCAAAACACCATTTCTTAATTAATAAATTTATTGTAGCATATTCATACTAGTATATTACAATCTCTGCTTGAGCATTCAATGTCAAGGTATAACACATGATTGCTCAGATTTTAGCAAAATATTAAGCAAAGTTAAGGGAAAAGAATAGTGATAGGGAAGCAGAACAGACCCCAATTATGCAACCCTAGACCTCATGTTTATGTTTATCCTATTCTAATTATTAGAAAGTGAACCAAAAATTTGTTATAATTTGAGCATAAGTATTATGCTACCATTGGATGAGAGAACATTTTCCCCAAGGTTGAAGGCATATATCAGAGTAAGATAGCATTCAAAAGAAGTATAGATTTTATCTTCCAATAAAGAGTAAAAAATATTTAAAATAAAAGATTAAAGAGAAAAGGATGATAAGATGTGAAGAAAGGGAAGCACTATTGAAAACTTTGAGAGTGAGGAACAACTATAGTCTTAATAATCATTGCATTTAAACATCTTCTTGATCCCCAAAATTAGGAAAATGAGTGAGAACACTAATTAGTGCTACCACTAATGATGTGGCAGTGGACCCCACCATGAATGATTTGATGTTTTGGCCTTGGTGTTGTATTTTTTTTCTTTTTTTATTGAGTGCCATGTCATTAGTGATCTTTTTAGAGCTCCAAAATTAGTGGTCTCTATCATTGTTGCCAAAATTATGTCTGTAGTATGATGGACCAAGTAAATTACAGAATTGGGCAGGACCTTGAAACATTTTCTAATTTCATTACTTGAAGCTTCCAAACTAGGGTCTATTGCTTGATGCAATGGTGAGGTAAAAGTTCATACTGTCTACTGTCAAGTTTAAGAATGCAAGTTCAAGTATAAGAATAAGACTAAACAAAGTGTTGTCTGAATCCCATCCACTCTCTCTCATTAGCGGGACCAATTCTTGTTAATAGCCTTGAAACTTCAAGATTAAGCTGTTTGATTTAGCTCTGTAGTGGCTTTGAGTGATTGTTAATTTGATGGTTCTTGTACTTTCATGACTATTTAAGGAAATCATTTTTTTTATTTGTTCTCGTAATTATCATAACTTTTCTTAGTTGTTGTCTGATTCTGGCATTGTTCTTAGATGGCTTTCTAATTTTATGCAGGTCCAAGTGATGCACCCCTTGCATCTAATAATTTTGAGGCATTTTTGAAAGTTCCGGAGTTCCTAAGGCCTCATACTCAAATATATTGCACAAGGTATTGATATCAATGGCTTTCTTAGGTACACATAAAAGGTGCATTGGCACCAGAACACCCCTTTGCACAGTGGCAAAGAGAAAATAGTAAAAGTAAAAAACCTGAAGACATTTGCTTATAAAGGAGCTAGGAAATGACTCTTTGGTGCAAGACTAGAGTTTTTGTATCCTCACTGAACTGCATGTTTTCTGACTGAACTTTCTGAACTTGCTATTCTTTGTAAATTGTTAATTGTACATATCTCCCTATCATTTCTGGTTTAATTAAGCTCTGCCTTGACATTTGCCCTTGGTGTAAATTGTTAAATTTGAGTAATTGAGAATTATGGAGGAAGGGGATTCATGTAAATTCTCAGAATTAAGCTTCTGAACTGGCAATTTATCCTGTAGTTAGAATGAGCAATGTCTATCTTAAAAGAAACAGTGCTCTCATTCTGGAGCATATCAGAATGACTGTGCCGTTTGATTTCTGATTCTAGACAAATGGGGTCAAAAGTGAGAATTAGCAGCCACTCAATTATCATTTGAAATAGAAGTGAGAATTGGTGTACTTTATATTTGTACAAGTTGATCTGAAATAATATTGGCTTGTTTACGTGGATAAGCTGAAAATATATCAGAAATGTTCTACCAAAAAAAAATTTCCCCCTCATCTTTGCAGTGAATGGGTGCTTGGTAACCGAGAGGATCTGGCAAAGGATATTATTGCTGAACTTCAACCAGAAAATTGCGAGGTAAATTATTATTATGGTATCTGCCCTTGGCTCTGAAGTTATAATGTTGCTGAAGGAATTTCTTGATTGTTAGGTATTATAATTTATAGTTACTTGAATTCATTATTCTTCTTCAAATACAAGAATAAATTTTATGGCACAAATATTAATTAGTCATTTATTGATGCTCTAGGAAGTAGGAACTGTGGGTAGTAAACAAATTTGATCATTTGAATCCAAAGTCTATATCTGGGGGAAATTATTAAGAACTGGACCAATTTGTAACAATTCTCTACAACTCTTTTTGTATGAAACTTTGTGATTGCATGATGTTATGTTATTGCATGATCAAACATGACAACAAATTTTGTTTACAGACTTGTTTAAATGAATTTACTCAAATAGATTTATCTGCATCATGGCTCTTTGTTCATAAGTATCTCAACCTTAAGTGGTGTTATGACCACCTTGGAATTTGGTAACTACAAGCTTTTTTGGAATATAATGTGCCTATTACCAAAACATAAATAGAACATGTACTAGAAAATGTCTCTAGCTCTGTCAGCAAAGCTTGTTAGGGATGGAATAGAGACTTGGGTTCTAGTCAAGGCCCCCTTTGAGCTTGAACATCGTCTTCACCCATTTTTGCCTTCCATCCTTACAAGGAAATGGCAGTTTTACTTGGCAAGTGGAAGAAGCATTACTTTACATAAGAAATTGCCACTAGCAACTAGACAAGCTAATATGAGATGGTTGATTTAGTTTTTTGAATAGTAGATCATTTAATTTAAGTTGGATCATCTAATTTTAGTTGTTGAGACCTTTAATTTGTTTAACATGTAATATTTGATTAGTTTCTAAGTATTTTACCTTTTCTGATCTGCCGTATGTGGTGCCAAATGCTCACACCCCTTTCTAACCTGGTTGTAACCTTGCAAGCAGCATTCTTCGTTTGAGGATCTTGCTACCTCTTTTATGTATTTGATCTTGCAGTTGCTTTCTTGGTGTCTTAAGAACAATTGGAAAGAGGGGTTGTTTATTAGTAAATTCATTAGTTGGCCATTGAAACCTCGTGTTCTAAATTGGGTCCAGATCATGCCATCTGAAAGGCATAGTATGTTTTCTGCATACTGGTGATAAATTAGAGCATTATATCATTGAAGTTTTCTTTTGTTGGATGGCCTTTTAGTTTTCTGAAGATTGATGGTGATAAATTAGAGCATTATATCATTGAAGTTTTCTTTTGTTGGATGGCCTTTTAGTTTTCTGAAGATTGAATGTGTGAGATGTTGCATATATTTTTGCTTGTGTACGGGTGAGATGTTGCATATATTTTTGTTTGTGTACGTGTGAGATGTTGCATGTCTCATATTTATTGTTATCCCCTCTCCATTTTGAGAATTTATTTTTTTTTGGGGAACAATTAAAAATTGTATACAATATTTTTCTACAGGAATGGTGGACGTATGTGTGCATGGGACCATCTGATCCTCATCCTAACTGGCACCTTGGAATGCGAGGTACACAACACCGTGCAGTGATGTGGCGTGTGTGGAAAGAAGGGGGAACAGGTTTTCTGTACTGGGGTGCCAACTGTTATGAGAAGGCAACAGTTGGTAGTGCAGAGGTATTTCTTTGCCTCATTTTGTGCATTACTCTGTTTATTTGAGCAATTTTTAAATTGGCAATTGTTATTTATACAATGAATTATTTATCTGTGAGCAGATTAGATTCAGGCGTGGCCTTCCCCCAGGTGATGGTGTCTTGTTTTACCCTGGTGAGGTGTTCTCATCTTCACATAATCCAGTTGCCTCACTTAGACTAGAGCGACTTCTGAGTGGCCTGCAGGTATAGTTTCATACCAATTTGGAGGTTTTCTTTTCTTAGCTCATCCATCTCTAGCTAAGAAGCATGGACACGAGTACAAGACATAACAATTCTCCAGAAATTTGGACACAAACAATTTATATATATTTAGGATACATAGATATGAGAAGCACAATGTATATGTGGGTGTATTTTTATTTTTCTATTTATTTCCTCTTTATTTTCATCAAATCAGCTTTCTAGAATTATAAACGATGTGTCCATCAAGTATCCCCAATGTGTCCTACAAAAAAATAATAATTAAAAAATTGACATGCCACGTGGTGTGTCAGGCATGTGGACACGTGTGTCCTGCTGTGCCTTGTCGGACACGGACACGGACACGACACCCATTCATCTTAGATGTCTAGTGTTCCCATATGGGAGAGTGCTTTTGCTGCCATTATTGTCACAAATTTCTTTGAACTTGACACTATGTTGTTACTATAGTTGCAAAATAATTCCAAGAACTACATACACAAATGTGATTTCCTTTCTTGGGATGCAATTTCCTGAGTTGTTCAAGTTAGTATTAATATCACTACAGCTGCTCTTTAACTTTTCTGACCTGTGTTCCTCCAGTGGGTTTACCCATTGATATATTAGTTCTTACTTTGTCAAATCTGTATTGAGAAACATTCATGTTGTGTTTGGATTATGGATTTTGGTAGGGATATGGAAAGTGGTAGGAAAAAAGTATGTGAAAGGTGTGTGAAATGTAGCTATACATCATTCACATTTCATCCACTTTTTTCCTTTCCCTTTTCCCTTTTCCCTTTTCCCTTTTCCCTTTTCCCTTTTAAATCCATATCCAAATCCATGAACCAAACATACCCTGAATCACCAAAACTTAAACTTTTTTCCTGAATAAATTATTGCAAAATTCAATAACTGCATGAAATTTATAATCTCAGCCTTGTTGCCATGATTGCCACTGCTGCTTGTACAGGGTGTTAGATTTTTCTTTTTATAATTACAACCTATGTATGCATGTTCTGAATGCTGATGCATTTTTTTTTGTTTTTGGTCTATTATTGCTTGATTAGGACATTGAGTACCTCAAACTCTACGCTTCAAAATTTGGTAGGGGTGAAAGTGTCTCTCTTTTGGAAAAGACAGGGATGTATCTCGGCCCCGAGCGTTACACTCACGAACACATGCCAATAGACGTAATGAGGAGTGAAATCTTCAGGACATGCCGATCCTAATAGGTCAGTCATTCCCAATTTGACTATGAAGGTATGGGGGAGATAAAAATGGGGTCTGTTAGTCAAATAGAGTGCTCTCACTGGGATATAGTCCATATTTTAGAGTTCTTGTGAGTTTTGCCCGTGTTTTTGCAACTGTGTTTGTTTAGTATCCAAATCTGCTTTTGTATTCTTAAAATGCATCGACACATGGTAATATCATACCCACTTAGTTGTGATGTACATGCAATTGTATGGGGGGTTTGGGGGGAAGTTAAAAAATAGAGAAGAAAAAGATACTTTTTGATCCCTTGAGCATGTACAGTTTTATAGCAAAGAGTCTTTTGGGCAAGTACTAGCGTTTTAATCCCAGAAGTATCTCATTCTTTGAAGAATGCCATTTTTAACACACACATTGAACCCTAAAAATGCTTTAACTACATGACAAAATTGTAGAAACAGTTTTTTTTGTTGAGTTTTATCAAATGTTGTCCAATTTTATAGTGCAATACAGTTTTTAGTTTGTATTATGTTTGTCTAGCTTTGCAACATGAGCCTCAAGGTTATATTCTTTCAATGCATCTTGTGTCTACAACAAGAACACTGTTCAAAAATTCAGGGAAGATGGATGGGTTCTATTGTTAGAAAATTTTAGATATTTTGTGAATTGAACAACAAATTTAAAGAGGATGTAATAGAATTGCTCATTCTTAGCTCAATTTTTGGCTCAAGTCCTAGTGATAGTTTTAGATCATTCAAAATTGAAGAAATTTATAAGCTTGTAAATATATTTAGTTCTATAGATTAAACCGAGTTGCGTTTGAAGTATCATTTGAAAAGTTTGATGTTTAGCTAAACTTAGCAACTTTTTTGTAGTGTCCAGGGTCGATAAAAATAAGAAAAACCAAACTGCATAATTTGGTAGAAGATGATTTGTAGCTACTTATCGAATCATATATATATATATATATAGGGAAATATATAAATGACTTGATATTTTTAACATCAAATCTATCATAGGTACTTTTTGTATCATAAAACAGTATCAAGCATAACGATTAAGAGTTGAAAAGGAGAGGCGAACAGGGAAGCTACATACTGTAATGGTCATTACAGATAATTGATCTTAGGTGAAAGAGCATGTCAGTCCTAGACCAACCCCTTAGTCTTATTGAACATAATTTTATATGCCTTACTTATATAGTAGTTTTTATTAATTTTAGTGAATTAATGCAATAAAAAATATACTCAATTTTATGATTACATTATTTTGTGTTGAAAAAAAAGTAATATTGTATATTAAATATTTTTGATAATTTTTTTCACTTGAGGCTTTCGATCTAAAATTAGAATAAAAATGATTTACAAACAAAAATTTTATACATAAAATTTAAATAGAATGATGTAACAATGATATTTTTTTTAATAAAAATTGTTCTGACTTAAAATAAAAGAATAATAGGTGAGTAGTGATTCTGTAAAAAGATTTTGAAAACATATTTTTATATAAAAGTCAAGTTGGTATGGTATTATTCAAAATAGAATCCTTTTGGGTGCTGCTGCTCTCCCCACCCGAAAAGCACACACCAACACGAATCGAGTTGCCGTTGACGATAGTTTTCCCATGGGCTATGATGGTCCCTCTTGGTCGTTTTCCATCACTTTTTTTCTCATTTCACATAATTTTGTCCATATTAATTATTGAATAAAAGTCAGTTATTTAGATATCAATAATTAAATAAAAATTAGTGGATATGAAAAGAAGACAATTAGTTTTAAGTTTTAATATAGCTATATTGATTTCTATTGAGATTTTAATTTAAAATTTTTTTGATTAGATAATAAAAATGAACAAATAATATGTGAGCTAGCTACGCCTTTAAAAAGAACGTACCCTTTATCATAAAGTCTAAAAAGGGTCGGTGCGGGAGATTCAAAAGGCATGGTACACCTTTGTTGGCTATGGGAATCAGAAAAAAAAAAAAGAAAAGAAAAAGAAAGTTAATCAAAGTCGTCATGATCACTTCTATGCCCTCTCTCTCTCTCTCTCTCTTTTTACTTTTCTTTTTTTGGACCCTGGATGTGGAGAAATTATTTTTTTGTTATTGGAATAATGTCATATAATACCCTGGATGTGGAGAAATTATTTTTTTGTTATTGGAATAATGTCATATAATGTTTTAATTTGATATTTATTGATTAAAATAATAAAATTCAGATTTTTTTTTTGTTGAAGTTTTGAGCAACAATAAGACCACTAAATAATGACTACTGGATCTCGCCCAGTTGCTTTTGCACATTTCGCTCATTGCTGTGGTGTGGGGCCTCTTTCACCATCGTTACAGCTGTCTCTTCTCCATTTTACATCTTAGGATATAAGTATTTTTTTGAATGTGTAATCAGCCACAAGCTCAAATTTTTATTTTAGAGTTAGTTACATTGCACATGCTCTCCCTCAACTCATTATTGAATATATTTTTTTATATTATTTGTACATTCGAGGCTTTCATGATGAAGTTGAAGTATAACACATACATGAGAAAATTTTGGGTTTTTGGTGTAAGTTGTTTTTGCCACAAATTCCTCTATTAATTCAACATATAAAATAGGGTCAATTACATTTTGTCCCTATTTTATACTTGTACATTTAGTGAGTGTTTAGGAAGTTTTTTTAGTAGACTATCTTAGTTTTTGGCTATTTTAATGAGTTAAATTTTTTGTGTTTAGAAAGATAGTTAGATTTTTTTTATAGTTAGATGTAATGTTTGTGAGAAAAAAAAATAAAATAATTATGGTTTGATGTGACATTTTGTCTTATTGACTATTTTAGTCTATTTTGTCATTTTGTGGATTTTATCCTACAAAACAAAAAAAAAAAAGTCTTTGCCAAACAGACTCCTCAATTTTAAAATTTTATCACTTTTTATACGATGCAAATGTAAAATTTTAAGATTGAGGGAGTTTTAAAATAAGAGAGGCACTATTTTTTCTTATAAAATAGTGAAGAGATATGGAGGAACTTGCGGCGAAAGAAAATGATCAAATTCTTAACATGTGAATATTTTACTTCACTTTCTTTCTCCTGTTTTTCTCCGTCTCCAAACACCAAAAATGGAGACGCACAAGAATACATTTTGCATTATTGTCTCACACACAAACACACAAATGGGAAGAAGCAAAACATTCATATAGAAGACCAGAGATTATTACATTCAAACGAAAGAAAATGATCAAATTCTTAACATGTGAATATTTTACTTCACTTTCTTTCTCCTGTTTTTCTCCGTCTCCAAACACCAAAAATGGAGACGCACGAGAATACATTTTGCATTATTGTCTCACACACAAACACACAAATGGGAAGAAGCAAAACATTCATATAGAAGACCAGAGATTATTACATTAGATGCACCAAAACAAGAACACAAGTTGTCATGTCATCGTGGGAACAGAGTCCTTTTTAATAACAGAGTAAAAGTGGAAACTTTTATTTATTTATTTTATTCTCAGGGGGTGGTGTCATAGTCAGTACTCAAGAATGGAAATGATATCCGAATCTAATCCATTTTGGTTGGTCGGCAAAGCCATTAATTAAAGCTTGAATATTGAACTGTATGCCATTCATGCATTTTCAAATCATCCTTTGTTGGCATTATCTTTAATTACTAGGGCATCTACACCCAATTTTTATAAAATTATGGGTAGTGATAGAAAACTCTAACACTAGAGTTCTAACATGAGTTTTAGGGACAAAGGAGAAAAAAAAAATCAAAATATCATATCATCATGTGGGATTCACCATTAGAACTCTATTAGAGCTCTTAAATTAAAACCTTCAAATATTATTGTAAAATTATTTAGCGTAGGTTATTGATTATATATATATATATTTATAATTGATTCTCTATTTATGTGTATCTCGATTGATCTCAAGATCTTAAAATTAATAACCAAATAAACTTTCAGTGACTCAAATTTAAAACCTTATATTTTATTCTTTTATCATTACCAATCGACCAATCTTAAATTTAATAGTTTATTGAAGTTACATGCTATGCAACCACCTAATACCCAAAACATGAGACTCTATTTGTTCTAAATTTAAAAAATAAAAATTGAAAAATTAGTTCAGCAAAACAAACACCAAAATATTATTTTCAAATTTAAAAAAATTATTTTCACCTTCAAAATTTTAAAAAGTTATTTTCACCACCAAAAAAATATAAAATCATATGAAAATGATAACTTTTTTTATTTATTATTTTTTTCATACTTTTAGTTGTTAATTTAAAAAAAAGTTAAATTCTAAAAAACAAACTAAACAGAACTGAAGAGTGAGATAGAATTAAAGAAATACATTTTCAATTGATACCCCCAACTCAATTTTTTATTTTTTTATTTTTTATTCTTTATAAAGCATGTCATGTGGTCGTGCAATCTTTTAAAGTTTGCCACAACCTTAGATTAAAGTTTATTTTTTTTAAAAAAAAGGAAAAGGAGAATCACAAAGTCAAATGTTTTGGCATTGATGATTAGTAGCTTTTGAAAGACATAAAAAAAGAAAAGGAAAAAAGGTAATAAATAAACAAAAACCCACATTACAAACAAATTCTTTTGTTTCAAAGCATAGTTTTTTTAAAAAAGTTTTTTTTTATAGTATAATTATTACACTTTAAAAATATTGATTTTTTAAAATTATCATTTTTTTTAAAAAAAAGGAAAAGGAGAATCACAAAGTCAAATGTTTTGGCATTGATGATTAGTAGCTTTTGAAAGACATAAAAAAAGAAAAGGAAAAAAGGTAATAAATAAACAAAAACCCACATTACAAACAAATTCTTTTGTTTCAAAGCATAGTCTTTTTTAAAAAGTTTTTTTTATAGTACAATTATTACATTTTAAAAATATTGATTTTTTAAAATTATCTTTTAGTAGTATAATTGTTACACTTTAAAAAATTATTAACAAATTTAAAATAAGGATAAAATAAAAAATTTATATTACCTTAATTTTTAATTTTTAAAAAGAAATTAATATTTTAAGATAATAAAAAATAAAATAAATAACAAACATTTTAAAAGGGGAGGAATAATGGATTTACTTCATGGTACCCTGCATGAAAAATGTCAGAGCCAAATTATGTATATCAATCATATCCTAGAGTATCTACGTTGGGCTCAGTAAGTTTTGAATTGAATTACAATTTAAAATTTTCGTTTCTATTTTATCTAAGGGGAATGTTTGGGACGCATACGAGGATGACTCTGGCATCTCTAAAGTGATTTTGACGCTCTATATATATATATATATGTAGAATTTATTTATATATGTATAAGATTCACATTATAAACCGTTTAGATTTGTAGAAATCTTTTATGGGTCTTGTGAAGATGGGAGTCTCAACCATTACTTTTCGTATGGTGAGTATTTGGAAAGTAGGTTTTTTTGAAATTTTTATGTGGTTTGACTGTTTTAATTTGTGTGTTTAGAAAGATGTGATTGATTTTTTAGGGATTGTTGTAGTGAAAAA